CTTGGGCCTAGTAATGGTGTTAAAATCACCTCCAAAGACTACCAGCCGGGATGTAAAGAGGTAAGGTTTAATCCTCGCAAAGAGGTTCTTCCTGTCCCACTTGGACTGTGGGCCATAGATATTAATGAGACGGAGCTCATGCCCCCTTACGAGAACATCCAGAATCAAACATCTTCCGATCTCTACCTCAATTATCCGCCGACACGTTACCATGCCGGTAAAAAACACTGCAACTCTGCTGTAAAGCTCAGGCCGCAAGAGACCAATAGGAGGGCCCACGCCTCCACTCACGCTTGGCCAGATGGACATCAGCCAAGGTGGGCAACCTGGTCTCCTGCAAAAAGAAAATATCAGCTTCCATCCCACTGATCAAAAATAAGGCTGTTTCTCTAGCACTTACAGACTTCAGGCTGGCAACATTAATGGTTGCTACCTTTATCGGAGCGGGGAACTGCCATTTAAGATAATTGAGAGGGACGTTTCTTAATCCTCCTCTTGACTTTCTTGGCAGGGTCCCTCACTCTCTTAAGAGACCCCCCCCCGAGCATCCTCGTCCTTCCATCGGGGAAGCGGGATCACCTGACCCCTCCTCCTCCCCCGACAAAGCCCCAAACCTATTTCCCAGGGCCACCTCCCCGCCTCTAAAGAGGACACCGACCCTGCTGAGGACAAAACTGCTTACTCCGCCTACCCACCCCAGGGACCACCCCTCCTCCACCTGAGCCCTACTGGAGCAGAACCTTGGGACTCCCCCGGGACTCCCTACCGGGCCCTCCTACTCCGCCGCAGCGGCAAGTAGCAAGGGGGGAGCAGACACTGAGGGACTAGACCTAGCCTCAACCATCCCTCTGCCCCTTTAGCAGCCTTCCCTCAGCTGTTTCTTAGTCCTGGGAGGAGGAACCGGCACACAAGGGGGAAAAACAGGGGACTCCAAAGGGGTAGACGAAACAGGGGGGACAGAGACAGGAGGGGCCACAGAAACTCCCCTTCCCTCACAAGGGCCGCCACAGCAACCGAAGCCGCTCTCTCCAATGCCCGCCTCCGCCTCTTCAGCATCTATCCGATCCAACTTTGCTTCAGCTCCCCCACACCGGAAGGTTGTGGGAGGGCCTCCGGGCACTGGTTGTATGAATGCCCGAGCTCCCCGCAGAGATTGCATCGGACAACATTGCAGTCCCTGGCCAGGTGTCCTATTCCTGACACAGGGAACATCTAATGACGGGCAGGTGCCGCAAAATGCCCCTTGCCCCCACACCGGGTGCAGACCCTCGGCTGACCCGCATAAAAAATTATCAGGCGGTCCTTCCCTAGAAAAGCGGAAGAGGGGGAATGTGCTGGAGCACATTTCCAACCACCTTTAAGCGGACGGTGGTCGTCCTCCCACCTGTCCATATTCCCCTCTCATCCTTGATCTTCCCAAGGGGCCCCATCACATCCCCATATCTACTTAGCCAGACCACAATATCTGATGCTGGGGCTGGATTCATTTCTCACCAGCACCGTTATTTTTTTAATCAGGGACTGGCGAGAGACGAGCCTCGGGTTAGGCCCACCCACCTAGGGCTGGTGACAAAGGTGGCCTCATACCTCTGGCCAAAAGAGGTCCAACAATTCTGGCCGCATGAAGGACACGTCATATTCTCCAGTACCAACTGGAGCAATAAACGCAAAAATATCCGCAGCACGGAAGCCCATTTCTAATATGCGGTCTATGACCTCTCTCCTGCTAAGGGGGGGCCCTCCCCTGACCATTTCAACTGAACAACATTTCGCCTTGCGGCGGAAGTGGGTAGGTTACCTGCCCTTGCCCGGGCCGATCCCACTGACCCCTGACCTCCCCTAACTGCAGCAGAGTAACTGAGCCCCGATCTAGCCCCAGGGGCACACTCAACATCAAGGGGGCATGACCAGGGGAAAGCCCGCCACGCCAGCAGCAGCAACTGAAGGGGCAGATGCTGATGAGCCATGACCTGGGGGAGCCTGGGGCTGGGGACCACCCATACCAGCAGGAGAACCCACCTGAGCCGGACCCGCAGGGAGCCTGGACCTGAGAACCTGGAGCCCCCTGAGGAGAAACCGGGGGACCTACTGGTTGCACACCAGAGGCCACCATGCCCCCCAAAGGGCGGGCCCAGTGGGACCAACCACCGGAGGGGAAACACCCTTAGCCAGGACTGTAGGGCTAACCTGCACCTCAGACAATTTTGCAGGCATTATACCCGCTACCCCAGTGTCCAGAACATCTCACCAACACAATCAGCAGAGTCCTTCTCCCCTTCCAGTGGCTCCCCTGCCTTTGCCCAACACGTCCTTGGGGATGCGTTGCAAAGCATGACAAAGGCAGCATGCTCCTTCACCACCGGCTTAGCCGGCTTGCGGGGGATGACATCACTTTCAGCTTCTTCCCTCAGAGTCCTCGGACGTAAACCTGAAGTCGGCTCCACGCAGCTCTGCAACCGCCTCTGCCAGGAACTGCAATCCGCCCACTATCTCCTCCTCCTCCACCTGGGTCCCCCAATCCACAGGCAGCTGCCCAGGGGGAGGGACTCTGATGATCCTGCCACCACGCTGTCTTCCATTTTAGACTGCCATTTCCTCTGAGGGTGCTGTGGGCTCAACCTGCCCCTGCTCGCCTTCCACCAGCAACTCCCCCGACAATTCCTCCACCGAAGAGGACCCCTCCACCGGACCCCGCATCGCCGCAACACTGCGGCTTCTTGCAGCCTTAAATCTCGCTTCATTCAAATACTTCTCGCTTAGGACGCCGCTCTGGCGCCTGCAGCGCCGCCACATACCTCCCCAACTGCTGTGACACATAACTACGAAGTTCCAGCGGCCTCCAGGTCCGGTTTCATGGCTCTGCCCGCTTAGTAGACCATACACGGTCGTAGGATGACCGGAACTTCTTTAGCTCAGAGTCAGCTTCTGGAGCTTGGCTTCCTCCTTGTCTATTAACCTGCACCCGAGCGGACACACGGTCCCCGGTTAGGCAGAAAAACTTCCCCCCACTTCCTAGGGGCCATTCCCAGGTCCTCTACTGGTGGAAAAAAGAGAGGCCGGTACACTAGGCCCCTCCAGGGCCTTCTCCCCGCTGGACCCCAGGGCCCAGGATCCGCCATCCTGCCTGGGCTGGGCAGGGCACTTTAGCCCCAGCTTCTCGGGCCTTTCTGGAGCTCAGCAGACAAGTGCAACACACACCCTCTCTCAGGAATGAATTCACCATAATGGTGGGACTCAGCTGCCTTGTGATCTGCAGTACCAGGGCTGGCCAGCGGATGCTCCCAGCAATCAGAGACTCAACTTTGGCAGCCAGCTAACACCTGGAACTGATTATGCTGGGGTATTTTTAAGGATGGCCAGACCCACAAGACTCTGCCTTGGTGTTGTGTTTGTCCTGGGCCCTGTATCCTGTTTCTTCTGGCCTGCATCCTGTTTCTGAACCGCTGCTGACTTCTCCTGCTCTGATCCCGGCTCGCTCCTGACCATCCCTCTGCCTGACCCTCTGTTACCACGCTGCTTGCTACCTGTTCTGCTACCTGTTCTGATCCCTGGCTTGTGACCCTGACCAACCCTCTGCCTGACCCCTTGCTGTACTAATACGCTGCTTGCTACCGACCTAGCTGAACCTGGCCTGGACCCCGACCAATCTCCGCTTGCTCCCCCTTTACCTACCTGCCCTATTGATATTGACCCGCCCTGCCTGCCTTAACGACGCTTGCTTGTATGTATTGTTATCTGTGGGTGGTTGGTTTGGTTTGGTTTGGTTGCACTGTAATTATGATTTTTAGTATTGCACTGCGTCTATGTTTGTATGGTTAGTGTTAATATATTATATTGTTTATAACATATCTGAGGTCTGTGTTTCCCTGCGTCAGCCACACACCTCTGGTCACACCTGGGAGCCCTGACATTAACACCAAGGCCAATCCCTGACCAGAAGTGGCTGCACAGGGGAAGCCATCTTGGCTTGTGCTGGGAAGGATGGATCTGGATGAGGTTGTGTATTTTATATCTGCTAGTGTTTGATGACAGGGAGTATGCTTATCAAACTCTGAAGGAGTATCCCAGGGATCAACTACTAGAATGTATACGGCTCGCTCATGTTCTAGTAGATCAGGGCACAGAGTTCTCTGAGGTGCAGCCTTTGATTGAGGTTTGTGCTGAGTTGGTTTCATCTGGTTCCCCCGAATGCAGGGATGAATTTTTGCCACCATTTAGTGCAGACCAGGTAGAGTCCCTGGTGTGGTTATTAGAGGATGATGTGGGTTACTTTCTGGAGCGTTATTCCACATGTTCACCACAGACACTAAGAGATTGTATAAACGCAGTGCAGTCATTGACCAGACAGGCTTTGTGTAAGCTCAGCTTTGTTCAACCCCTACTGCAGATATGGACAGACTTGTTGCACCCAGCCTCAGTCAGCTTACAAAAACCCAGTCCTGCTTCTAACTCTACTCCTGTATTCCCACCAGCTCCTCCAGTTACAGCCCAGTATACTTGGCTATCTACCGCATGTCAGTACCCTGTTCCCACTCGCTGCACCTATCCTGCCTTTAACCCTGTAAAAAAGCCCTCTGTAGCAACTGCTCCCTCTCCTGTTCCATCCTCCAGTTTTTCTCTGTCTCCAGCTGCTCCATTCGTTTGCAGACCTGCGTTTACTTGCAGTGCTCCAGTAGTTAAAACCAGAAAAAAGCGAAAATTCTTTCCAACCAATACCATCCTGCCAGTATCCAAACCGGTGAACCTGCCTTCCGTGACTCAGCCTGAAGCCTCTACTCAGCCTGAAGCCTCTACTCAGCCTGAAGCCTCTACTCAGCCTCTACTCAGCCTGATGCCTCTACTCAGCCTGATGCCTCTACTCAGCCTGAAGCCTCTACTCAGCCTGAAGCCTCTACCTCTACTCTACTCAGCCTGAAGCCTCTACTCAGCCTGATGCCTGCATTCAGCCTGATGCCGCTACTCAGCATGATGAAACTGATGCAGCCGGACGATCCAATTAGGCCAGTTGACTCGATGCCCGCTGTTGATCCAGATGATCCGGTACCTGACCCAGTGCCCGCTGTCGTGCCAATTGACTCAGAGCCCGCTGTCATACCTGGTGACCCGGTGCCCACTGCCTTCCCAGATGAGCGGTGCCCGCTGGCAAGCCAAATGACCTGATGCCTGGTGACCCAGTGCCCGCTGTCATACCTGGTGACCCGATGCCTGCTGTCGAGCCAGACAATCCGATACCTGATGACCCGGTGCCCACTGTCGTGCCTGTTGACTCGGTGCCCGCAGTCTTGCCAGACGACTCGGTGCCCGCAGTCTTGCCAGACGACTCAGTGCCCGCAGTCTTGCCAGACGACTCGATGCCCGCTGTTCCGCCAGTTGACTCGATGCCCGCTGTTCCGCCAGTTGACTCGGTGCCCGCAGTCTTGCCAGACGACTCGGTGCCCGCAGTCTTGCCAGACGACTCGGTGCCCGCAGTCTTGCAAGACGACTTGGTGCCCGCTGTTCCGCCAGTTGACTCGATGCCCGCAGTCTTGCCAGACGACTCGGTGCCCGCAGTCTTGCCAGACGACTCGGTGCCCGCAGTCTTGCCAGACGACTCGATGCCCGCTGTTCCGCCAGTTGACTCAGTGCCCGCAGTCTTGCCAGACGACTCGGTGCCCGCAGTCTTGCCAGACGACTCGGTGCCCGCAGTCTTGCCAGACGACTCGGTGCCCGCAGTCTTGCCAGACGACTCGGTGCCCGCTGTTCCGCCAGTTGACTCGGTGCCCGCAGTCTTGCCAGACGACTTGGTGCCCGCAGTTTTGCCAGACGACTCGGTGCCCGCAGTCTTGCCAGACGACTCGGTGCCCACAGTCTTGCCAGACGACTCGGTGCCCGCTGTTCCGCCAGTTGACTCGGTGCCCGCAGTCTTGCCAGACGACTCGGTGCCCACTGTTGTGCCTGGTGACTCGGTGCCCGCCACTTCGTCTGGGGGCCCGAGACCTGTTGCTCCGCCTGAGGGCCCGAGACCTGTCGCTCCATCTGGGGGTCCGGCGCCCGCCGCTCCGCCTGAGGGCCCGAGACCTGTTGCTCCATCTGGGGGTCCGGCGCCCGCCGCTCCGCCTGAGGGCCCGAGACCTGTCGCTCCATCTGGGGGTCCGGCGCCCGCCGCTCCGCCGCTCCGCCTGAGGGCCCGAGACCTGTCGCTCCATCTGGGGGTCCGGCGCCCGCCGCTCCGCCTGAGGGCCCGAGACCTGTAGCCCCGCCTGGGGGTCCGGCGCCCGCCGCTCCGCCTGGGGGCCCGAGGCCTGTCGCCCCACCTGGGGGCCCGAGGCCTGTCGCCCCGCCTGGGGGCCCGAGGCCTGTTGCCCTGCCTGGGGGCCCGAGGCCTGTCGCCCCGCCTGGGGGCCCGAGGCCTGTCTCCCCGCCTGGGGGTCCGATGCCTGTCGCCCCGCCTGGGGGTCCGATGCCCGCCGCTCCATCTGGGGGCCCGAGACCTGTCGCTCCATCTGGGGGTCTGGCGCCCGCCGCTCCGCCTGAGGGCCCGAGACCTGTCGCTCCATCTGGGGGTCTGGCGCCCGCCTCTCTGCCTGAGGGCCCGAGACCTGTCGCTCCCATCTGGGGGTCCGTCGCCCGCCGCTCTGCCTGAGGGCCCGAGACCTGTAGTTCCGCCTGGGGGTCCGGCGCCCGCCGCTCCGCCTGGGGGCCCGAGGCCTGTCGCCCCGCCCGGGGGCCCGAGGCCTGTCGCCCCGCCCGGGGGCCTGAGGCCTGCCGCCCCGCCCGGGGGCCCGTTGCCTGCCGCCCCACCCGGGGGCCCGTTGCCTGCCGCCCCGCCCGGGGGCCCGGTGCCTGCTGCTCCGCCCGGGGGCCGGGTGCCTGCCGCTCCGCCTGGTGGCCCGCTGCCTGCTGCTTCTCCTGGTAGCCCGATGTGCCTCTGCCCGGAGTCCTGCCCGATGTGCCTCTGCCCGGAGTCCAGCCCGATGTGCCTCTGCCTGGAGTCCAGCCCGATGTGCCTCTGCCCGGAGTCCAGCCCGATGTGCCTCTGCCCGGAGTCCAGCCCGATGTGCCTCTGCCCGGAGTCCAGCCCGATGTGCCTCTGCCCGGAGTCCAGCCCGATGTGCCTCTGCCCGGTGTGCCTCTGCCCGGAGTCCGGCCCTGATGTGCCTCTGCCCGGAGTCCGGCCCGATGTGCCTCTGCCCGGAGTCCGGCCCGATGTCCTCTGCCCGATGTGCCTCTGCCCGGAGTCCGGCCCGATGTGCCTCTGCCCGGAGTCCAGCCCGATGTGCCTCTGCCCGGAGTTCAGCCCGATGTGCCTCTGCCCGGAGTCCAGCCCGGTGTGCCTCTGCCCGGAGTCCAGCCCGGTGTGCCTCTGCCCGGAGTCCAGCCCAGTGTGCCTCTGCCCGGAGTCCAGCCCGGTGTGCCTCTGCCCGGAGTCCAGCCCGGTGTGCCTCTGCCCGGAGTCCAGCCCGGTGTGCCTCTGCCCGGTGTGCCTCTGCCCGGTGTGCCTCTGCCCGGAGTCCAGCCCGATGTGCCTCTGCCCGGTGTACCGCTGCCCGGAGTCCTGCCCGGTGTGCCAGTCTTTGATATCCCGCCAGTTACCAGACCCGGCGGTGGAACATTTTTCCCAGCTAGGACTGTTTGGAGCGTCCTGAGGCCGCTCCTTGAGGGGGGGGTACTGTTAGGAATGGACTGGCCAGCAATGGTGGGACTCACCTGCCTTTTGATCTGCAGTACCAGGGCTGGCCAGCGGATGCTCCCAGCAATCAGAGACTCAACTTTGCAGCCAGCTAACACCTGGAACTGATTATGCTGGGGTATTTAAGGGATGACCAGACCCACAGACTCTGCCTTGGTGTTGTGTTTGTCCTGGGCCCTGTATCCTGTTTCTGTCCTGCATCCTGTTTCTGAACCGCTGCTGACTTCTCCTGCTCTGATCCCGGCTCGCTCCTGACCATCTCTCTGCCTGACCCTCTGTACCACGCTGCTTGCTACCTGTTCTGATCCCTGGCTTGTGACCCTGACCATCCCTCTGCCTGACCCTCTGTACTACGCTGCTTGCTACCTGCTGAACCTGGCCTGTGACCCCGACCAATCTCCGCTTGCTCCCCCTGTACCTACCTGCCCTATTGATATTGACCCGGCCTGCCTTACGACGCTTGCTTGTATGTACTGTTATCTGTGGGTGGTTGGTTTGGTTTGGTTTGGTTGCACTGTATTATGTTTTAGTATTGCACTGCGTCTATGTTTGTATGGTTAGTGTTAATATATTATATTGTTTATAACATATCTGAGGTCTGCGTTTCCCTGCGTCAGCCACACACCTCTGGTCACACCTGGGAGCCCTGACACCTGGCTGTGCGGTGAAAGAGGGGATTGAAGCTGATCCTGAGCTGGAAGGCAACAATAAAAGGTTTGCCAGGGTGTCAGGAAGATATGTTTGGGCCCTAATTCTTGGGGCCTGGTGGGATGCTCCAGTGCTGGTACTAGGCCTTTCATCCTGGGGTCTAGCGCCATTGGTGTCTGCTGATTGACCATTGGGGTATATGGCTTCTCGTTGTTGCCTGCTCTTCAGAGCGCTGTTTCCTTTTAGAAGGGACTGCTTCCTCCTCCAATTCAGTCATTGACCCACTACTTTCTACTGGCTCGTATTCCGAAGTGAAATCAGATGGCGAGAGCTCCCCGCTGCTCTCATCCGACATGCTGAGGATTTTGAGCGCCTTCTCACTAGTAAAATATTTTTTTGGACATTGCAGTTTTGGTGATTTATGGCTGTATATGAGGGGTAAATGCTGATGGATGGCTGTGATGGGTACACTGCTGCTGGGCGGCAGTTGTGTCGACTTTGTGACGAATACACTGATTTAGGGTGCTGTGATGGCTGTGGTGACAGGTACACCGATGGGCTGCACTGATGGATGCACTGACAAGTACACTGATGAATGCACTGATGGGCTTCACTGACAGGTACACTGATGGGCTGCACTGACAGATACACTGACAAATATATTGATGGGCTGCAGGGACAGGTCCACTGATGGGCTGTGCACTGATTGGCTGCACTGACAGATCCACTGATGGGGATGTACTGACAGATCCACTGATGTGGCACTGACAGATCCACTGATGTGGCACTGACAGATCCACTGATGTGGCACTGACAGATCCACTGATAGTGGCACTGAAAGATCCACTGATGGCGGCCTTGACAGATCCACTGATGGCAGCACTGACAAATCCACTGATGGGTACACAAATGGCTCCACTGACAGATCCACTGATGGGCTGATCTGACAGATCCACTGGTGTCAGTGACAGGGACTCTTTTTATTAGGGGCAGTATGGTGCACAATAGTGAAAAGGTTTGAAAAACTCACCGTTTCCTAGGTTCTCTTCCTCACACAAGATCGGTGCGTGAGGAGGAGAAGATAGCAACAGTGAGTGAGCGCGTGTGACAGGTCACAGCCGATCACGTGGTAAAAAGCCAATTTCATACCTTTATCAGGAAAGTGCTGTTTCTGAGGGACACAGCCTGACAGCAACAGCCCCCCGGGATGCGCATGTGCAGCGAGATGCACAGGATGTCATATAATGCCCAGTCACAGGGAGAAGAAGACCGCCCTGCCATCAATCTGCTATAGGCCGGGTGGGAACATGTTAATGAGTGGTAGGGTGCAACAGATTACATTTTTGGTTTTGGGTTTAATACAGCTTTAAGGTCTATCGGCTTAGAAAATTCCATATTTAAATAGATAGAAAACTGGTTCAAAGGCTTGTTAATTATACATTACTTATACTTATAAATACTTATAAATTATATAAAGTTTGGAATGAAAAGTACCATCTCTGTCTCTGCATATGACTCAAAGCTATGTAGTACAATAACATCCCTACTGATGCATGTTTGAACAGGCAACTACATAGCAAATTAGGTTTAATGCAAAGTTATGCCTTTGGTGGCTAAAAACATGTATGCATTATACATTCTAAGGGGAGTCTATCTGTACAAGCCAATGACAGAGAAAAATCATAGGTGACATTCCATTTGTGTGCTTCTTTGGCCATGTTATGCCAGCTAAGGGGGTTGGCGTTTGGGAGGTTTGGAGCTTTGATCAGATGCATAAGGAGCTCAGATAGCTGGGGGAGGAGAAGCAGCAGAACACCGATCTCCCCATTTAATGGCTGTGCACAAGTCTGCCCATTGAATTACAGGCAGACTATTCTCCCAGCGCAGCCAGAAAACTGATCACACTTGAATGGATAACTAACATGGTCAGTCTGAAATAGGAAAGCAGAGGGACTGGCAGGAACACCAGGGATTTCACACAAAGTAAGCAATACAAAGAGAACATGATACTTTTTAACACAAGTGCATGGTACAACAGATATGCATCAGGAATATGAAATGTTGGGATAACATATTCTTTCATTCTAGCTAGAACTTCTGTCAGATATGTATTGCTGTATGTGTCTCTGATGGGGAGAATACAGATTTTATAGTTGTTCCAGAAACAAAAAGGGAGTGTAGATCTTTCAATGGTGACAGAGGTTCTGGTGACATTTGTTAAAGTGTATATAAACCCAAGAGCAAAAATAGAATATATTGTAGCTTATGAGTCTTTAGATGTAATGGTTCATTAGTTGTCTTTTACAACCTTGTTTTCTTTATTTTCACATGACTTTGCTGTAAAGTAGCATTAGCACCCTAAGATATGAAATGTACAAGGACTACAGAATACCTTACCCTCTCCTCTTTTCATAACAAAGGGGAGTTGTACTATAGTTCAGAGGGAGCAATGAAAACCGATAACATTTAACAGAGGCAGAGTGTACAGGAAGTTGTCATTTTACAATGTATATGCTGGGATTAACAGGTATTTTTTGTTCTTATTGAACAAAACATGATATATTTAGCAGGGCTTTTTTTTCTCAGACAACAGGTGCAGGAACTCTCTCTTTCCAAGTCATCCCTTGTCTCCGCCCCCTATCCACCTCCTAGCACTGTTCCTTGGTTCCACCCCCTTGTCTCCGCCCCTATCCACCTCCTAGCACTGTTCCTTGGTTCCACCCCCTTGTCTCCGCCCCCTATCCACCTCCTAGCACTGATCCTTGGTTCCACCCCCTCCCAATACTGCCCTTTTAGAGAATACAAGTATCATTTTGTGGTGCTAAGTAATTTGTATGGAATATGTTAATGACAACAAGAAAAGCAGTAAAATAGATCCCCTACAGCTAGCAACAATAGACCTCCTCCAGCAACAATTGGCTCCCTCCAGAAACAATAGATTCCCACCAACAATGGATCTCCTCTCAGTCAGCATCAGTAGACCCTTCAGCAATATTAGACTCCTCTTTCAGCAGTAGATCCATCGCATCAACAATTTATCCCCAGCAACAATAGATCCTGCAGCATCAATAGATCTCCCCTGCACTATAGACCCCTTCCCCCGCAACAATAGATCCCCAGTAGTCAGCATCAATACACCCTCCAGCACTCCCTAGCATTCTTTGCCATTACATACATTCAGTGCTGGAGGTGGCTGAACCACGTTCCAGATGAAAAAAAGCCCTGCATTTAACAGACCAAACAGTAACAAATACAATAAGTTAATTGATAGGGTTTACCTGTAGTTCATCTTTAGCACAGCAGCTATGCAAAAGCTACTTTACTTATTTTCACTTTCTCCTACTTTAGCTATGCATGTTTAGCTGCAGATAGTTGACCCAGAACACAGCACTTTCTTTCTTTTCGTACACAGCTAAACACATAATACACATTGCTAATTGTTATGTATGAA